ATGGGTGGCGGTCCACGGACTTTTCCCGGCGGCCTAAACAAGTGGCAGTGGAAGCGCCTCCACGAGAAAAAAGCAAAGGAGAAAGAGAAAAGACTCCTCGAGCAAGAGAAACAGATCTACGAAGCCAGGGTCCGATCCGAAATTCGTGCCAAGCTTGCCGTTACAGCCAGACGGGATTCTGAGTCGGATCCCAATGCGACAAATTACAGCCCGATGAGCTCCCAAGAGCAAATCAAAGCCTTAGCCGATCGGTTCATGAAACCCGGAGCAGTGGATTTGTGGAATGAGAAAGATGGTCCCTTTAAATCAGAGGAACGGCCACCCTTAATTAGACCAGGAAATGATCGAGCAGGATTAATGAATTCACCAATTGATGTGAAGAAACTTACATCTGATAACCGCAGTTTAGCAGATAGCAGAGAAATTTTGAATTTAAGAAGTGTAGGCAGTAGTTATCATGTTAAGAGGAGTTATTCAGTGCAGAGAAGGGGAAAATTCCGGAGAAATGAGAGTTCTTCCAGTGAGGATGATTCAGATTCTGGGTCTGATGACAATCCGGTGAAGTTTTCTGGTAGTAGGTTAGCACGAAATAGTGGGGATGCTAATTCGAGAAATGTAAATAATTTTTTGAAGGATAGGAGAAGTTATTTGGCACAGAAGAAGTTTGTGAATCAGAGTTCTTCAAGTGACTATGATACGGCTGAGGATGAAGAAGGAGGAGTGGAAGGCTGGAGGGATGTGAGGAAGTTGGGCAGTAGTGCCTCTTTGGGGAAGCACGATATGAAGATCACAAAGAGAGTACCATTAAAGGAGGTTGAGGAGGAGTTTGATTTTTCGGAGCAGGTGAAGTTGCTTAGGAAGGAGCTTGATAAGAAGAAATTGATAGAAAATGTAGAGGAGAAGAGCAAGGAAGAATCTATTTATAGTAATAAGAGGTATTTGTAGATGTTGGATTGACATTCCTCTAATCTGGGTTATTCAAGAATATATGGTCTATTTTACTGGTGAGAAAAATTGTGACCTGTTTTTTTTTTTTTTGGTGCTCTTTATTTCTCCAGGTTTGATGAGTCTGGTATATCTTCACTTACAGTCAAGGCGCTTTCTGCTGCTGGATATTTTCAGATGACTAGAGTACAAGAGGCCACACTCTCTGTTTGCCTTGAGGGTATGAGTATTCCACGGCTTATTCAAACCATATTACTAGTTTTTCTTATATCCATGGGATTTGAAGTCCATTATTCAATGAAACATGTAGAAGACTATATTGGTTGATTTCAAAGTTAAATGTATTTTGTTGTTTAGATAGGGCTAAGTTATTTCTATTTTATAGAAAAGGGCAAAATGCTATTATTGATTTTTAATACTAAATCAGTGCCGTTAACCAACTGTTAGCACTGACATTGAAGTTTTCAACTTGTCAAACAAGTAATTGCTTCAACTTTTGGAACTTCAGGATATGATGAGAGCCACTTGATGCCTAATGGGAGTTAGGTCTTAGAGAAATGTCATTTGGTTTATTGATTGCATGTAAACTACTGCAAATTTGAAGATAGGCTATTGGAAGCTTCGATACAGTTATACACTTTAAATGGCCTCGTATGAAAATGTCAAGTTTGATTTCATGGCTATTAGTTGAATATTACATATGACTTGTAATGTTTGTATTTGCTTGATACTAGCTAAACAAACAAATGAT